CTGTTAGCAGATACTTTAGCTGAAATTCAAGAGCAAGTCGGTGATGACGCTGACAATATTGATGAAGAGGTTTCTGCACTAACTCATCAATTAAATTGTAAAGTAGAATGGTCCACTTAAGAGTGTTTTTCCATACAGGATAGTGACTGGGAAGAGGTTCAGAATGGTGATGCGACTCCACATGATATAATGTATTCAGCATCAGTTCCTTCGAATGCTAATCCGTCAGTTGAGCATCTAAATGCAATGGCAAAAGTTTTCGATGAGGTATATATTAGTAAGGAGAAGTTCCTTTTTTCTTTGATATCGTGAGTAGTAGTTAATTGTTGCCAGCATGCAATTTTGTCACATTCATTTCTCTGTCTACTCCAATCTTCTATAGGATGAAGATGACAGTTATGATGATGATCTGGCAAAAACTGACTCTCTTAATGAGGTGTGTTTTCAGCCTTTAGCTGCAAAGTTCCATTATTAAAATTAATATGATATTAACTCAACCATATAATACTCTTTTGTTTTGCAGGTGAAGTTGTTGGACTTTCTAACGAACACCTTTGTCAACCTGTGGGACAGTGATCGGCCACTTTTTGAGTATCTTTGCCAGGTAAGGTGTCCTTGGCTGTTTACTTTACCCTTCTGCATCTCATGTTCATGAGAATACAGTATTGTTGAACCGAATTACTGTTTGCAGGGCTTAACAAATCCACAAAGGGTTGCAGTACAGAAGGTTTTGCAGAAGTGAACCGTTTACATGAGATTATTTATTGGGCTTCAGATTTCTCGTAGCGATTTCTTAGGTTCAATGCATGTGGTGTAGGCTCATTGGTTTGGTGAGTGTTTGGATGAGTACCTTTTCTGGTAGCTTCGGTGTTTAGTCCACATTTGAACTAAATGCCAAAACTCTCCAGAGAAATACTGCCCTGTATCCGATCGGGCTGTTGGTGTGTTTGTGCATTATTTGTTGTTGGTGGTGCGAGGTTTTGTTAGTGTGCAAGATACTGCTATTCGTTTATGAAAGTGCATAGGAGCTCTCGGGTGCTACACACCCTGTATGAATAGTAGAAAAAAATACTAAGAAAAATTCTGGAATTTGGGGGTAGAAAACCTGATCGCCTTTACTCACGTACAAAGTTTTGTGAAGAAATGGCATCAAAATATACAGTCCATTCATTCAAACAGTTTTTAATATATAATTGAAATTTTGTCTTCTTTGCTGAGAATTCCATGGATGTCATTTTTTCATGAAACTTCATGTGGGAGAACAGTCAGCCAGGTTTGATACCCTGAAATTTAAGATTCTTTTGTTTTTTCTTTGTTCTTTTTTTGATTTTACTATTCATACAAGGTGCATAGCACCCGAGAGCCCTGAATCTGTGTCCTATACCTTTATGGCTTTGTTTGTTGTATTGGACTAGCAAAAGGGCCCGCGCGTTGGAACGGAAGAAAAAAATACCACATGCTTTTAATTTAGAAAAAATAGTCTATAATCTGAGTATTTGTAGCTACGGCCAAAACAAAGATAGTCTTTGCCTACAAAAGGTCAAGTTCAAGATTCAACATGTCTTTGTAAATTTAATACGTACAAAGAAATGGACAAGTGATCCTCGGTTTTGTCTCCAATCCTGATTTTGTTGAGATGTTCATCAATGCATTGTTTATTAAGATTGCATCTTGGATAGTATTTTTTTTAATGGTTAACAGGTAAAATGACATCATATTCAGATTTCATATATTTTTCTAATCAAATTACATATATAACATGTTAAATTTGGAGTTACGGTTTAGAAGATATGAGTATTTTAAAAAGGGGAAATATAAGTGAAAACTTTGATTCAATGAAAATCTGGAAACTTGCGACCCGAGTTGTTGGATCTTTAACTGATGGCATAGATGAGGGGTGGGCTTGCTAACCAGCCACTTATGCTACTTTTCAAATAACCCCCTATCTTACCCATGGGGTAGGATGGCTTCCCACAATTTCTTCCCCAAACTGAACTCTTATCTCGCCTTATCCATGGCTGCTCCCTACCGCGAAGACCATGGCGCTGCCGTCGTCCCCCACCGCGATGACCGACGACGAGGCCTCCCCCTACGGTGAAGCCGAGCCGTTCCCCACCGCGACAACAGACGATGGGGCTGCCTCCACCGCGACGCCCGATGGCGCTGCCATCCCCCACCGCGACAACCTACGGTGCTGCCGTCCACCATGGCGCCGCCGCCGGGTGGATGCTACGAAGGTATCAGGCCATAGCCAGCGGGGCTACCAACGGCGCCAATGTAGGCGTCCACCTCGCCGAAGCTCCCCTGTGAGGAATGGGCTGTTGCTCCTTCCAACCAAATTTAGCAGATTTGTTGTGCGAGCTTGTGATGTAGAGACGAAAAATCTGAATGCAATTTTGATATTGTGAGGTGTTATCACTCAGCGTGAAAGCATTGCTGATTATCTTTATTTAGTCTGAACGGTGCTCCAATGATGTAATCTGAGAATTTGTACAAGACAAAATTTTCTGAATACTACAAGCAAGTGTGTGTGTTGGATGGAAGTTTACACATAAGTCCGTGCAAGGCTGTATGTTGGGCGAGCAGGAGTCACAGCAGCTGACGAAACAACAAACAAAAAAGCTTGATCCAGATGCTTCAAAAGTACAATTGAAGAAGGACAACTATGAGGGTTACCTTGATTCAGTTAGTGCTAGTTGAACCATCAGGTGGAGGGCTATGAGGAAGTGAGGATGTTGTGGCAATAAGACTATGACGACATACGAGTACAATTAGTACATGAAGCAGATGCCGCTGTACTATGTTGCTTACTTGTGCAGGGCTAAGAAGAGGTTGAGGCATGGCAGGGGACGGAGGTGCAGTGAGATCTTGGAGAGGCGGCGTCGATGCATCTTCTAAAGGGCGACTCAAAACCAGCCGAGGGGCAGGGATCATGGCCGGCGGAGGGAAATAGTTCAGGACCGGCGGAGGGCTCTTCGTCGCCGGCGGAGGGAGACAATTTATGGTCGCCGGCGTGGCCGGCGTAGGGCAAGTCTCCATCCCGTTGATGAGATTGAAGACGAATCGATCGTAGTGGAAACGTCAAGGAGCTGGTGCGTAAAAGAAGGGGTTATTTGTTAATTCGTGTTTAAGTGGCTGGTGGTGGTTCCACCTAAGATCTATGCCGCTCCTTATTGATCCGATGGCCCATGTGATGAGTTTCTAGATTTTCATCGAATGAGCGTTTTCACTTGATACTTCGCCTTAAAAAAACATTTAATATATACTGCGGGTTTAATATAAGAAACATCAAAGGGTTTTCTATAAAATAGTATGATGGATTAAGAATACCTATTTCTTTTATTTGTAGGTATAGATATAGATGGTACATGTTTCCTTCCTAAAAGAAAGGCAGGAAGATGCTATTTGGGCGTGTACCCTACCTGTTGACGCCAACGAAGTTGAGTGAGCTCCTTTTTTTTGCTAATAATCATGCATGACCTGTGTTAGTCTAGTGTTAGGAAAAACATTAACACACTAGTGCTTAAAGATATGTAACATGCGGAGCAATTCCATCGACATCATCATGGACTCGTCGCCAAGGCCAAATGATCCAATGATAAGATCTTGCGCCAGTCAATGTAACTGAGGTGACTTCGCTCCTACTTAAGGCTCTTATACATTTGGAGACGTGACTACCACCTCAAAGTGGAACCTTGTGTGTGATTAGATATGATGATGACCACCATAGAGAAGCGAGGAAGGATAGCCAAATCCTTGAGGGGTAGCAAGGAAGAGGAGGAGATGAAGCCACACGGTCCAAAGCAAGGAGAAGCTCTTTGGTGGACAGCCTAGGGTTGTGCTTTTGGACTCTTGGTCCTCGGTCCCTAGGCCTTGGGCTGAACTCTAGGAATTGTCTAGCTCTCTGGCCTACCCCGTGACCTCAGCCTTGCCTATGTGCAACTTTAGAAAAATGTCCTTTGTACTCTTTACTTTTCCCCTCCCCTTCCCCTAGGACCTGTGTATTCCACACCTCTTTCATTTTCTAGGGTTTGAAAAGCATATACTAAAATCTGGGAGCTTTGCATGTGGACCTTGTCCTATGAGTGATTTCTCACTTGTGTTCCTTATCAAATACACCTTCAATTCGTGAAGATCAGGTCACCCTAGCAGCTTGCCCCGTATCAGGTAAAACATGAGGACCGTGGGGAATAAGTATAATGTCGTCCGAGTTGGTGAAATTGGTGTTGACAACGAGGTGTTATTTTTCATGGTGTAAGATGCGACACAATTTTAGCATTATGGTCTCAACAAAATGGGGGTTTGTTGCATACCCATTATTGTGCAAGCGTGGTTCAACCGATGCAACATGTTACAGAAAAACTGCTGAAACAATGTTGCATACACAATAATTTTATGGGGATTGTGTGTTGTATGTATGAGGCACCCTGAAAATATCACCCAACTATCAACTACGATGGCCTTAAGAAAACATGAAAGTGCGATAAATGATGCTTACACTCTGCCAAGCTTGTTATGCATTGCATAGCTCATGGCATGGTTAAGTTTTGCTGCAAGACTGATAATATGGCTCTTTCGAAGAAAATGAGCACCCCACTAGTTTGATCCTTTTAAGAAAAAAGAAATAGCACCACATCCCCCCTTTTTTACACTAGTTCCATCCTCTAGAAAAAAGTGCCCCTTAGGAAGGGGATGATAAAACTGGGAACTACTCCCTCCGTCCCATAATGTAAGACGTTTTTTGACTAGTATCATTGACTAGTATCAAAAAACGTCTTACATTATGGGATGGAGGTAGTAAAATTTATAGCAAACCACTCATCAAGCATCAATGAGTCAAGAGAAATCTCTCATGACAGGTACAGAGGTACTGTATATCTCATATGCATATAACAGTGCAAATAACATCTCATAACATGCAGTAAGTTAGTGATGAATGGCTGATGATATCGACATGGAACCAAGACTAATACGCCTTGCTTCTGCTACTTCTGCTTCACTCAGGAAGAGCTGTCTGCTGGCTTTGATTCTTCGTCCTTCACTTTAGTAGGGGTCATACCATCGCTGCCCATTTCAGCCTTGAGGTCATTGATGCTCAGCTCCAATTCATCAATTCTTGCACCCATTTCATCTAGTAAGTACTGGTTAAGGATTATACAAAAAAGCAGGGAGGCATATGTAGACAATAATATCCTGTTGCTCATATCAGTAAGTGCGCGAAAAGTGAACATTTCAAATTGCTCTAAAAGTGAACATTTCAAAGGGAGGTAAATGGTGTGAATGCTGATAACAAAGATGACATTATTCAAAACCACTAGTCCCTAGTGTCACTTATAGAAATGGTCCCATACACCAACTCTAACATGATATCAAACGATATGAGTGCTTGTTCCATATTTTTAAGAAGTTAAGAAACACTAAAGAAAGAAGATTGCAGTCTGCAAGGGTTTGAAAGTTTGCACATGGACTACCCTCCTAATTAAATGCACAAATATTAAAGATTCTCAGTTACTATGGGAATCTGGATCATGCATTTGCACTATAATTTTCCATTACAAATGGACAAATCACCGACCTAGTAGAACATGAGTTTATTTGTCAAATGTTCACCTGTGATTGAAAATTCATTATCTAAACAAACTGTGACCGGAAACTGAATGAAATAAAAATAAAATAAAATGCAAAAATGAACTGATTTATAAGGATATTCTTCGTGATGATGTTCTCTGACATGGTTTGGAACCTGGTTTGCTGCAAAGGAAATCACAGATTCAGTAAAAGAAAAGTAGGTGGACTTATACACACAGTGCAGTGCAAACAAAAGTAAGAGCTTACCATCTGAACTAGAAGATTTTGCACCTGCAAGCAGTGAGCAAAAGCAAAAGATGAGCGAGAAATACACATCAAATTTACAATCTATATGAACTCAAAAGTAAGATAAAATACATACAAAAGCAGTCATGTCAGCTGTGCTCTGGGCCGAGCCATCCGAATCCTGTTCGGCCTGCAATTGATAAGGCACATATTGAATGAATAAATTTGCTAAAAACCTGTTTGACCCTATGGCCATGAAATGGACTAGAGGAATACTGCCACATCCCACAGGCATCACAAATTCAGAGGCGTCCAATCACAAGTGATTATGACTGTCCTGCATGATGCCGCACAAAATTTGAACCTTGTTAGACGAGATGGCTGATGCGGGCGTTTCGCATGTTCGCCCAAAGTAACCTATTTTTCCCAAACGGCGGCTACCCCATAATCTTTCCTACTTATGAAGATTGAAGTTGGTGGTGAGTTCACATATAGGCCCAACATCCTTTTCAAATAAACAAATACACGCATCTCCACGTGTGGAACTAGCAACCTTCCAAGAGACATACTCCCTCCATTTCACAATGTAGTGCTTCCTCTATCCCCGTGCTTCAACTTTGACCGTAAATTTAACTATCAAGACCGATTGCGGCGGGAGCAAAAATTATATCAGTGAATTCGTATTCGAAATAAGTTTTCAATTATATAATTTTTTCTCCCGCCGCGGTTGGTCTCGTTGGTTAAATTTATGGTCAAAGTTGGACCTCGGGAAGTGCGGGCGCACTATATTTTGGAATGGAGGGAGTATAAACCTCTGTTTTTAAGGCGTCCCGCCTTGGACGCTTAGGCGACGCTTAGGCGATAAGGCGCCCCGCCAGCGCCTTACAAATATGCCCGCCTTAGGCGCTTAGGCGTCCGCCTTAGGCGCTTAGGCGTCGCCTAGGCGATAAGGCGCCCCCCCCAGCGCCTTAGATCGCCTTACCGCCTTAAAAACATAGGTATAAACAAATGTGCTTTACTCACATGTGGGATCTATCATAAATAAACAAATACACTACTTTCATGTGAGACCAACTTTTTTGTTAAGGGCACAAATAACAAAGACAAGAATGTGTCTTCAACTCAAAATCGATCTTGGTTTTCGTTCTCTTCACAAGCTACCGTGGTCATTTAAAATTCTCTAACGCTGCATGTCTCTCACCGTATTTTTGCTATCTTTTCTAATCGTAAATCACACAGCGGTCATAAAGGACGCTAACGTTATTTCACGACCTCTAAGCCAATGGTTCCGTGGCAACTCACGGGCATCGTGCTAGTAATCTCTACAAAGCGGCTATAGGAAGCGGAAGCTCCAGAAGGCCGGCAAAATCGCAAGCGCTAGAGATATCATCGAGTTCGAAGCAGGAAAGTCCCCGGAAGAACCGGTGGAGATGACAAACACCAGTCTCTTCTTCGGGCGATCCACAGGAACCCTACCCGGCTCGCCGCTAAATCCTCAAACCGCGCTCGTGGCCTCGAGGGCCGTGGGTGAGAGGGGAGGAAGGGGGAGTCGCTGACCTTGATGGGGATGCCCCCGGAGTTGGAAGACGCCATGGTCGACGGCGTCGGGAGGCGCCGGAACAGATCCACTCGTCGTCAGTCGGGGTTGGGATTTGGGGATTCTCGGTAAGAATGTGTGGGGATTGCGGCGAAGAGCGAGGTAGTGGACCTGCTCGGTTGATCGAGAAGGCTTCGGCACGCGGCCGGCCTGCAAAGGTTGGGTGAGGCTAAATTAGGTCGTTTCGGGCTTAGCTCTGGCTTCAGCCCACGGCCCACCTGCGAAGTATTTTCCTTTTTGCGAGTAATCAGGAAGTTTTATTCAACTTCAACCGGGTTACAATCGGCCAATACAAGATCGGAGATGAAGACTAGCACCCGTTGCAACCAACAAGCGGTGCTACAAGCCGTGCAATCATAATTAGCCAGACAGTGTGCTCCCCTATTTTGATCTCTTGCTAGCTTTAAAAGTTTAAACTCCCTAATAACCACTAAAGAGTTCTTAATCTCCTTAACTAAATTAACAAATTGCGACTTGACGAGCGAAGTGTCTGACAAAGAGGACAAAGCTTACCATAGAATCAGATTGCACTAGAATCGGCAGACTAGACCATTGGATAGCAAGGTTCATCCCTTATAGTGTTGCTTGAATTCCGGCTTCCAGGGCATTGTTGAAGAAGACGATCACTACAAGCAGCGGACCATCTTTCCTATGCCGTTCCTAAAGATCATGCCCGCCCCTGCGAACCATCCTCGGGGTTAAAACAGTCGTCGGCCAAAAGTGCCAACCAGTGCATCGACGGTGGTAGCCAAGGGGGTACCGATGGTGGCGGCCTTGCAACCTGTGTTGGGCCGATGTCTACCACATGGGATTTTCCTTTTTATAATTTCCTTGATAGATAGATTCTTGATGTTACTAATCGAGCTAAGATAGATGCAAAAAAAGTCCTTTGTCACTTTAACTCGTGAAACTTCTTTTCCTGTGCATCAAATCATTTTGCAGGTTCGGTCTTTGCTAGAACCAGCAAGCGAGGGTGCTAGAACCGACGATTAGGGCTGTTGGAACCAGCAACGCCTAGCACGGCGACACGAGGTGGAACGCTGGGAACGACGGAGACGCGAGTGGTGAGGCTGCTACCGCTTACGGTGAGGGGGCTGCGACTATGAGCACGCCATGATGCAACGGTCTTTTTTCTCCCGTGCGTGTTGGGGGCAGAACATGAAAGTGGACAAAAGGTATGATCAGATGGTTAGAAATCACGGGATCGGACGTTGGAGGAGGTGACCGGCCTGAGCTATGCGCCGGCCGACCGGCGCCTAGCGTCGGCCTTATGCTTGTGAGGACATATTGAATTGAACTGGAGTACAGCTTGCCTTCTTTTGACGTGAGCGCGCGTGGGCATTTTTGGAAGGGAAATTTTGACAAGCTCGCCTGATGCGTTGGTGTAGAATCCTGTAACAACACTGATCTGTAGTTGAATTAAAATTTCAGCGTGTCATACATGCAATGTGATGTTGCCGGCGTTAAAATTTCAAAAATCTGTTACATAGACAAACTTGGTTCATGACACAACTGGTCGGCTGTTGTCCCTCGTAGCACAGCCGAGAGAAGAATTTTGAAGAACCTATTTCACATATAGTAGATGTTCATGTGAGGCTAGGCAGACAGGAACCCGATCGACGAGTCTAACCGGCCATGATATGAAGCAGCAGCTCGTTCCACACATCGATCGGTCCGGGTAAGCACCAGTGCAGGCAGTCGATGTCGAAGCCGCCGTGGTCGCCGGCGCCGTGTCCGTACCGATCGGGGTGCCCGTCCGGACGCCGCAGCATGATCCGGGTCACGTCCATCAGCCTGAGCCGCACGCCGTTCTTCCTCGCCTCCTCCTCCGCCGCTCCGAACTCCTCCAGCTGGGCCCTGTAGAACCCGCCCTCCGGCTCCTCCATGTCCGCCGCCTCGTCCCGGTCGAGCGGCTGCGTGTCCGGGCACTCCCCGCCGTCGAACCACCCGCCGTTCGCGTAGTGCGTCGGCGCCACCGTCCGCAGGATCGCCGTCCCCTTGAACCCGTCGAGTTCCGCGAGCGCCCGCAGCACGGTGCGGAACGCCGCGCGCTGCGCGTACCGCGGTGGGAGCGCGGTGATGTTGCCGTTCGTGGTGCCGCAGCCGTGGCAGCCGACGGCGCGGCCACGGCGGTAGTACACGGCCGGGCGCGCGAACCAGTGCGACGCGGACACGACCACGTAGTCGTGCTCCTTGGCCGCGGGCATCCACCGCTCGTCGGGCTCATCGAGGTGGAGGTCGCTGGGCCCGGCGAACACCTCCCCATGCCGGTCGGGGCCGACCGCCTCGGGCGGGCCGCTCGTCAGGCGCCACCGGACCTGGAACGGCGTCCAGAAGAAGGAGACGGCGAAGTCGTGCGCCGGGAAGCGCCAGTGCTCGAACCCATCGGCGCTCCGCCTCGTCGGGATCTCCGCCTCCGACAGGGTGCACATGAGGGAGGTGACGTGGCTGCTGGCCAGCGAGTCCCCGACGAACAGGATCGACTTGCCCCGAACGATCCGGAAGAAGCGCGCCGCGTCGAAGCGCGGGAGCTCGCAGCCCGGGCCGCCGTCGGGGCGCCACCTCCACTGCAGGAAATCGAGGCTGGGCCTGCCGTGCTTCATGCAGTTCTGGTAGTCCTGGATGAAGGCGCACGTCGCGTTGGTGTAGTGCGGCCGCGCGCCGGTGGGGTCGCGGACCCACTCGCCCAGCGTGGTATCGCACGCGGTGGCGCCCATGCCGTGGGTGTCGGCGCCGGACGACGAGGTGGTGTTGGGCGATCCGAGAGGCCCGAGGAAGAGGAGCCAGAATGTGGCGGCTGCGAGGAAGAGGAGGGCAGCGAGAGCGGAAACAGGTGTGGTCTTGGCAATGGCATGGCGGCTCCGGCGAACTCCGGCGAGGAGAGTGCCGAGGGAAGGAATCATCGGAAGGCTCTTCACGAGAAGTACACTGGTTCTGGTTCTGGTGTTTATGGGTCTCTGCTGCAATCCAATCCAATCAGAATGCTCAGCCAAGTAAGAAGCAGGTGCTTTAGAACTGAACCATAGCATATGATTTCGGTTCTAATGTGAAGTAATTTTAATCAGCAAACAAGTTGTGGGAGGTTGCCATCTCCATTGACATCGACAAGTCAACCCAAGCCCCATGGGCTCAACATGGACGAGATGTGCGTGACCCAGACGTGGTGACCATGTGGGCGCGGCCTATATGGTTGTAATATGCATGCACGAACGTGGCCGCTTGCGGTAGTATATTTCTTGGTCGATTAATATATAGTTTTTGTTTAGGGGGGCACGTTACCCACATTAGTCGAAATTGCAAGAGAGAAATGCATATTTCAACCTCAAAATCATGCACTTTTATTTCCTGCCAATTTTTTTACCAATTTTTGTGAACTTTCAGAATTCCAGTTTTTTTTAAAACATTTGTTAAATTAAAGAAAAAATACATATAATTCTGGGAAAGTTTCAGAGTTTTTTGCTTAAAATAATGGAAATGGCCGTCAAATATGATTTCCTGTCCAAAATTTTCCCAATATTTCCCAAACATTCAAATTTTCAAAAAAAGGGGACAAATTCTGTAATGAAAGAAATCAATACTAAACATTCTGGAAAAGTTTCAAGAAAAAAAAATCTTAATAATGAAAATTACCGTCAAATTGCTTTTTTGACCAAAAATTTGGCAAAACAAATCTAAAAAACCAAAGTTTTCAGACAAAATTGAAACAATTATGTAAAAAATTGCAAAACTTTCCTAGAATGCTTAGTATTATTTTCTTAATTTTAAAAGTTGTTTGAGAAGTTTGAAATTCGACAAAAATTGGAAAATATTTGGTAAGAAAAAGAAATTTCACGGTAATTGTCATTATTCTAAGCATAAAATTATGAAACTTCCCAGAATTTTTATTACTGTTTTCTTGATTCTATAGATTTTTCTTTGATTTTCTAAAAAAAGAATTTTGGACAATTTTAGGGAACTTTTTCTGCAAAAAGTGAAACTTGACGGTAGTTTTCATTATTTTAAGCAAAAAAAAGCTGAAACTTTCCCAGAATGCTAAGTATTGTTTTCTTTATCTTATGATATTTTTTAATTTTTCTGGGAATATTGATTTTTTTTGATGAAGTTTGGCAGAAATGAATTTATGCACTTACATGGCTAACCGGCTCGGCGGTCAAGGGGGTCAAAACCACATAACAATTTTCTAGGGGCGCAAAGTAAACAATATTGATAGTTGGAGATTGTGTCATAACCTGTTTTGAAGTTTAAGGTTGCAAATTAAACTAGGGCATGAGTTTGATGTTGAAATATGCACTTCTCTCAAATTGCAGTACTAATTAGTTTGAAAATATAGTACAAATTGTAAAAAAAAAATACAACGCCCATTTCTTTGCTAAAGGAGTCTACATTGTACATCGTCTAATTTATCTTACCACCTCTGAGCCACGTCGTTTGGCCACACAGCTTCCCTAGAAAATGGTAAGTCTGTCGTTGCCAATATCTAAAGATATCTATCATTCACATTGGTATTGAGATTCGTGTGTCCAACTTGAGTATAATCATTTGAAAAGTTGATAAGATTCATATGACCTTACATCAGGTTGTGTCACCTTTATGTCAGAAGAGAGAGCGGTATATTGGAAAGGACCCGTGCATACATTCTCTTTCCCCATACTCAAGACCTGATTTAATTTCATTGTCATATTTTTAATGATTAATATCTTTTGAACTAAATCTTTGTTTTGAAATTTAGAACAAGATGATATTGGATATATTTGAACTGATTTTTATTTCTATTGTTTGAATTATATTTGAAATCGATTTCATAAAACATACATTTCCACTATTTCAAAAAAAAATTGGATGGTTTCACTATTCAATAAAATGATTTCAGCTATTCTGTAAATGTTTTATTATTTAAGAAAAGGTAATTTCCACTATTTGACCATTTAATTATTTCAAAAGTTCCATTTCAATTATTTTGAAAGGTTATTTAAATTTTTGAAAGGCCATTTCAATTTTGGACCACACTGACTATCAACTATGTGGTAGTTAAGCTTAACCACTAAACACCTTCCTCCTCCTTTTACGTGCACTTCTTCTTCTAATTACAAGCATACATGCACTCGAGAACAAAAAAAAGTTGGTGTCATTCCTGATTCTTTTTATTTTGAAAATTTAAAATATTTTGCAGCTCAAACCATCGGTACGATGCAAAATGCATTTTCACATAAAATATCCGTAGCGACGAGATCTTCGAAACTACATGCCATGTTGGCATGTTTCAACGACTTTTATTGGGTAAAAAATTACCGCGCCTAGGCTACATAAGTTACCATGCCTGTAATATGTAAGTTATTGTGCTATTTTCGTTGAAGTTGCCAGGGGCATAAAAAATGGCTCCCCCATCCTTCTGCACATGCACATGTATATATGCGCTAGAGGACTAAAAGACTGATGTCATTCTAGATTCTCCTGATTTAGAATTTTTTTAAAAAATTGCAGCTCAAACCGTCAATCCGATTCAAAATCATTTTCACCAAACAAAACCATTACGACAAGGCCTTCAAAATTGGATCCCATGTTGGTATGTTGTTTTTTTGTTCGAGTCAAAAACTTACCACGTCTAGGCTAAGTAAGTTACCATGCCTTTGGTGTGTGTATATTATAATATTGTTTGCACATAATTTACAGAGGGGTATTTTTCACCTCCAGGGTAAAAAAAGTTACCACGATGTCCGTCCTGAAGTTAACATATCTGCGGTGTGTATATTATCAAGGTATTTACACAGAAGTTGTCGGGATATATTTTTCAACAGTTTTTATCCACAGGTCAAAAGTTGCCATAGTGTTTGTATGAGTTATCAGCTCTATTGTGTGTATATTATCATACTATTCATACAAAAGTTATCGGGTTATGGTTTTAACAACTTTTAGCCTCGACCAAAAGTTATCATGATGTTAGTACATGAGTTACCAGCTCCGATGTGCGTATTTATTCACATAGAAATTATCGGGGCTATGTTTTTTTAGCAACCTCCCCCAATTAAAAGTTATCCTGGAGTTTTGTATGTAAGTTATTAGTTTTATGGCGATGTATATTATCATGCTACTTACACATAAGTTACAATAGTTTTTCCCGGGTTGAAGTTATCGTAGTGTTTTTACATAAGATATCATGTATGTGGTACGTAAAGTAAAATCTTATGTGTACATAATTTAGGGGTATATTTCAATAAAAAAAATCTTGGTCAAAAATTACACAGAAGTTACTGGAAGTTTATGATGAAAAATCCACGTGAAGCATATGGAAAAAAGAAAAAAGAGCAGTTCAAATTCTGTCCACACATTATTGTTTCCTAGGGTAGAGAAAACAAGTAGAACGTTGAAAATGAAAGAAAATCTACGAAAATGAATAAATTAACATTTGGGAACAAGAAAACAAGAAAACACAGTACGAACAACAATAAATGTAGGAAAAAAAGGTACGTTGGCAAAAATGGAAAGAAGAAACAGAAGAAAGCCTAACTTTTGAAAAAAATACAATAAAATCAATAGCAAAAAGTCCTCAATTTAGACATAAACGTGATACATGAGAGTTGGTGCCAAGCCCTGGTAGAACGAAATCAGCGCTTTAAGCCCCCGTTAACGCTCCCACCGCCCGCGGCCTTGAAGTGGGCCGGCAGAGCAACACGCCCAAAAAGCAAACACGAAAAAAGGAAGTGACCATCAATTCTGATCGTTATTTGTCTAAAAAAAATCAATTCTGATCGTTATATGGGAGAAGTGGGATTCAAACTCGGGACACCATAGTCGACAACCACTAGGCCGAGCTAACTTAGATGTTTACTAGCAGGAAACAATCCTATTTGACCCAGTATAGATTATTGGAAAAAAGAAAACATCAGTTCCAAAAAGAATTCACAAAAGAACCGACAAATTTGAAAATAGTTCAAAATTTTGAAAGGTTCACAAAATTAAAAAGGTACATAAATTTGAAATGGTTCACCCAAATTGTAAAAAAGCTCTCGAATTTGATTTTTTTATGAATTCAGAAAAAGTTCGAGAATTCGAAAAAAAATCAGCAGTTTGGAAAAAAATCATGAAATTTAAAAAAGGTTCACGAAATTGAAAAAAGTTCAGAGAAAAGTTCACAAGCTAAAAAGTACAACAATTGAAAAAAAGTTCACAACTAATTAATTCACAAATTTGAAACAAGTTCATGAAAATTGGAAAAACTTCATGAAATAAAAAAACAAAATGTCAGGAAAAGCTCATGCATTTGAAAAAAGTTCATCTCTAAAGAATTCAAGAATTTGGAATTTCACAGTTGAAAAAAGTTCACAAATTTGAAAAATATTCATGAAGATTGAACAAAGTTCACAAAAGCTGGAAAAAAATCACGATCAGAAATTTCATGCATTTGAAAAAAGTTCAAGGCCTAAAACCTTCATGAATTTGAGGAAAGATCGCAAATTTGAAAAAGTTTGCGAATTCAAAAATATATGAAAATTTCAAAAAATTAATAAAACTGAAAAAAATCACAAATCTTTGGAAAAAAATCCGCAATTAGAATTTTTTCATGAGCTAGAAGTTCATGCATTTGGAAAAATTCACGGCTAAAAATTTCATGAATTTCACAAAAGTTTACGAATTTGGGAAAAGTTTGCTTATTAAGAAAAGAAAATAAAAATGAAAAAAATCAAGAAAGAGAAAATGAAAAAAATAGAAGACCAATCGGCCATACAGAAAAGAGAAAGGAAAACCAGACTGTGAATGCATTATTATTTTTTGAGTTATATTTACCACACAAGAAGCGAAAAAAGGAAGAAAGTGGGCACAACTAGTAAGTAGCCCTATTGGTTAGGGTTGCTTGAACTAAACCTAGAGGGATGGAGTACGACTCCCATGACGCGCATGTATTTTTTGAAGGTTAAAAAAAATGAAAAAATTGTAAATGAGCCGAGCCCATGACGGAGGGTGTGTCGCCGGTTTGTGTATAAACCTATAGCATATCGTTTGGCAGCCCAACTCAAACGCATCGTTTGAGAAA